CCCATTGATTCCCACTAGGTTTCATCGTTGTAAAATGGCATACGCAGGAGCTCCCAATCAGCAGCTGCACACAGCCTAAGAAAATACTACGAGGAGAGTCGCCACAGAGCTGAATCATCTGTTTGACTGTTTCTATGAAGCGCCCACTGCCTGTCTCTTCAGCTTCAGACAGCACCTTCACAAGCATCTCTTCGAGTACACAAGCTCCATCGCGTGCCATCTGCGTGCACACAAATGAACTGTAACAAAGCCGTGTTATGCGGCATGGCGGCGTGAGCATGCGCTCTGCAAGTACACGCGTAGCCGCAGGGTGGGTAAGGGGCTTCTTAACTGACATGGCGGGCGTCCATACCGCTCCTAACAGAGCGGAAGAAATCAATTCCAAGTACCCTTAGCATACTTCCATTACTGAAATTCTGCGCGCAGACGAACGCACCCTCGTTGTTAGGCGAATAAATGTGCCTGCTCGTGTTTCCAACTGTCATGCAGATTTGGGCAGGCAGGCACTAATGAAGAGCGTTACAACTCAAGTAACTCACANGTTTCCAACTGTCATGCAGATTTGGGCAGGCAGGCACTAATGAAGAGCGTTACAACTCAAGTAACTCACAATTTCTTGAATCCCTATATGAATTGTTATTCCACTAGAGCGACTAGTCGGCCGATAGTCGACGTGGTATGTCTCTGCAGGGTGTTCAAACCACTCACAACAGAGAAATGACGGCAACGAAGTGTAAGCTGGAAGCATGTATCACCGGAGCACACATATGTACACGACACGAACTGTTGTCAACTGGATGCATGATCAGGCGCGCCACTGTATTTTTGAAATCGTGTTGGGTTCTTAGTGTATTACTGCTGTATGGGCCCTGGTGAACATGGTAAAGGAAATTGAGGAGACGCTGCGCGTGTTCCAATGCTTTTTCCAGTGATAGGTGTCCCTGCAATACGAAGAACAAACTGGCACCAACAGTTGTCTGTGAAATGCCAGCATTCGCCCTCCTATACGCCTAACCAACAATACTATACATTAAAGTGGTTGCCCTGCGTTATCTGCGTAGGACTACGCTTCGAAATGCTGCTTGGTCGGGAAGCTGGGCCGTAAGTCGTATCACACACGTACTTCCTCAAGCCGTGGAAAGACATGATATTGGTTGGCGTGGCGATAATGCTCAGACGTGAGGTCTCCAATGGGTATAGAAGTTTGGTGTTTAACTCGGCGCCCTGCACCACGTTGATCGCCTTCTTGATCTGCAATGCCACCTGGGCCAGCACCAGATGTGGAGGGTCCTGAAGCAGGCAATCCTTGCATTTCATAGGCTTCCGAAGGTGCTCCCTGTTGGGTACGTGGAGATCTTGACCTCCAAAACCTCGACCAGGCTGACCTCCGCCTTCGGAGACCACTTCCTCCCACTCCGCTCCCTTCGCCGCAGGTGGCTTCCCCTTCATCGGGATCCTGTACACAATGCACCAAATGCAGCGCGCAGCATGGACATGTCAGATCCCCATAATAGACAAAGCAACATTGCATCTACCAGGCGTAAAATCCAAAGACTTACACCCTGCAGCAAGGGCTGCCGTGCGCCATCATCCCAGTCGCCACCTCCTTCCGCCAATACCCTTGCAGAGGCCCTCCTGTTGATTGATAGTTCCACTGTGCATTTCATAACAAGGAAAACCAGGGCAGTTGCAAAAGCCACCCACAAGGCTGTTCGCCAAGTGGCGTTTTGGCCGCGCAGTCGGCGACTGTATGAATCCCTTTGAACAGCATTTTCGGTCTGCGAAGGTTCATCTGCCTGAAAAGGTCCTGCATCAAATGATTTGAAATCAATCGCTTTTGCTTCCATTGTCCNGAAGGTTCATCTGCCTGAAAAGGTCCTGCATCAAATGATTTGAAATCAATCGCTTTTGCTTCCATTGTCCCTACATGGTGTACTCAGGCGCGTGCTGCTCTACCAAACCGGTAATTCTGCGCCGTGTGGCCGAGTACCCTGAACCTCTGCAGTGCAAGCACAAACGTAAACAGCCGCCCGAGCTGACCTTCGCCCATGTCCGCTTTACCTAAAATTCGCGAAGAACAGCTTAATTATAAAGGAAGAATAAACAGAGGCTCCATTCTGCTTCTGCAACGTGTGCTCCTTCTCGTGTAACTGGCGTCCAGAATCACGGGGAAATTAAGTTTTGAGAGCTTACCCTGGGCAAATCCTACTCACTCCCACTTGCAAGGGTCCTTTTGTAGCAGCATGCGTGCCTCAAAACTGTCCCTGCAGAGACCAGAAGTGCAGAGACTTTTACCTGGGGGCTGAGACGTTAACAATATCGCCGCTCACGCTCCCACACGTTGTCGCTGACCATGCTGCTTCGAGGGCTACCACAATTCTTTGAAAAAATGTCAAAAATTGCCATTATATCCCTAGAAAGCACGGAGTAACTTTACTACAAGGGTTGCGTTGGGAAGTCCAAGGAAAGGACCGTCCTATAGTGTACTAAGGCCCACATCGAGGCCCTGAACGATATGTTACATCAGAGCAAATGAAGCATCATACTATCTCAACTCTTACCTATCCACTGCCAAAGCGCAAAATATGGCGTTTTTCTGTATTTTATATGAATTACATGGCAATTCCAAGCANTATCCACTGCCAAAGCGCAAAATATGGCGTTTTTCTGTATTTTATATGAATTACATGGCAATTCCAAGCAATGCATCTGCTAGCCTTGTTGTATTCCTGGGGGGTGATGGCCTCTGAATTGGGTATTCTCGTATCGTGTCTCGGAAGTTACCAAAGAGGGATTCACTTGGCCGTAGTATGTTGCCTGCACGCAGATGAAACTGTTCCACAAGTGTCTACAGAGATGATGTATGCAACTTGGTTGTGCTTGCGTATGAGGCTGTTTTGCATCAGTGGTTGCAGCGAGGTGCGCGGTGTATCGAGAGCGTTCGCTTGTCCGGTATTCTCCGAGGACAGTCACGAGCTGCACGAGAACCAAAAAGGTTAAGATGAAACATTCCAAAGAGCATGTGAGCTCCTCTCCAGTCACCCGTCAACCTGGGACGGGCGGCCCACCAGCGTGTTGGAGAGAGACACGAGTTGCACCGATCATTGTTACAACTCATCACGGCTTTAGAGCAACCCATATGTGCACTTCGAAGAGCGCTTTGGCTCAAATGATTCTTCAGCGGTGATGTGAGCCGCTCCTTCTATCTATGGCTACCTCGCAGCCACAGCTGATGAGACTTAGCTGTTTGTAGAACTTGCATTTGAACTTCCACCTAAGGATGTACTGAACCACGTTTCAAGTCTGTTTCAGGCCTACACTTTCCTGCTTGCTAGTACTGTATTTTCGCCTTGGCTTGAAATTTGGCAGAAGAATGGTATTATCAACACATGCATGTTCTGGAGAGCGCCTCGGCGGGCTATGGATCTGGCCACGTTAGCGGGTCTCAAACATGCTGCTGTAGCCTAGCGCACCAGCAGCAGCAAAACATCGCAAAAAGTGCATCAGCTCCGCATTGGTTTCTCCTACTCTTAGTTACTTTACGGTGATCCCGAACCGAACCCATCTGTAACTTGTCTGTCGCCTTGTGAACCGGTTGTTTCCGTGGGCCGCTCGCTTACAGGACCTGGCCTCACCACACGACGTCTTGCGCTGTTTGGAGGAGCGATGCACGGGGCATACGTAGCAGGGTCAGGCAGAACCCAGTGTAAGTATCGGTGTCTGCGTTCATGTTGGTTGCTGAAAGCTAGATGAATATTTAACAGTCTTCTACGGTAATAGAGAGTGCATCCAAATGTGGCTGAATTGTACTTGCATGTGGACCTGCCTTGCGGCAGGAATCGCAACAGGAATTGCCGCAACTTTCGAAGGGCGGCGCCTCGATCCGCCAGCCCCTCTGCTTGCATGGAGGCAGGATGAGATGTCTGTGGCATTTTTCACTACGGTTTTACTTCATCTCCAAACGATATGCAGCGGCCTTAGGCTGAGAATTCTCGATGCATTGTTCTTCATGTGGCCTAGAAGGGGTGTGTAGACTTGAAAATCAAGAGAGTCGCTCAATTCTTCCACTTCACACGATAGAGTCGCTGTCTCTCCAGATCCCTTGGAGGCTAAACGGCGCATCAGCTACCTCGAACGAAAGTGACGTGTCGCAATGCTGTTTTAGTAGTGCCATGCTCTTCGCAATGCTGGAGTAGAACTGCAACGTTCACTTATAAATTAGCATAACTTAGTGTAGGATATTCTTCCGCACATTCAATCTAGACACAAAGCTCTGCTGGGTCAACCAAGCATTCGAGATAGCGCGAGTGCTGAGCTGCAAAGTTTGAAAGCGAAACCACCGGAACTGCTGAAAAGGAGAAACGGGAAAACAAGCGATTATGAGACACTTGTGAAAGCTTCGCAGCAGCCAGCGCCGGAACCTACGTAGCTGATTATCCCAAGACTATCGACGGGCGACTAGGAGCGTAACGCCCCACGTGCCAAGCGCTAGATCCTACAGAGCAGGTTGTCATCGTTGTTTCTTTTCCTTTCTGCCCAAATCTCAGATTCGAAGCAACGTGTGATACTCATACACAACCGCAGACAACGCAAGAAAGAGTACACTATGCATATGCTCTACCCAGCATGGCAGATATTTCTTCATCAGTTTATGAACACGCCTAAGGGAAAGCAAGCAACCTGGTTACCCTAATCCCTGGCTGGAGCGAGGAAGCCAAGCGCGACCTCAAGGAGCATACGAGGCCGTAGAGCTTCTTTAGGCTTTACGCACTAATCTAACCAAGCTATATAAGGCTCCTCACGTCATGTGCGCTTAGGCCGAGCTCTTATACAGGTGTGCCAGTGGGAGCATGCAAGCGGCCTCACGGTGAATGCAACTCGGACCAAAGCAACTCTGCCACTACCGACCGACAACGGACTTCCGGAAATGTAATCAATTTCAAAAGCGTCCAGCATGTGGAAAATAATAAAGCGAGAGTTGTAGTTTTTCATGCGCAGATATGCAGCGGGATCTACGCCTTCATTTCAAATGCCCAGTCGTTGGAAACTACTTCCGCTGCCTCCAACCCCAGAGGGCCTGCACTGGATATTGCCGACAAAAGGTGAGTGCA